CTGCCAGTACTTTACTCTTTAGGTGTCACAGAGGGTGGGATGCTTGGAGGATCCAGGCGACGCCAGCACGGGGACAAAAATCCACTCATCTTGCTGCAAGTGAGCATTTAGCCCTTCTCGAGTGTTTCGGCCCTCCACACACAGACGTGGACAGTTTATTCCACACATATGCTGGGACAAGTTCTAGTTTGCTTTAACTGACTCTGAGAACAGTTTCTCCGTCTGGCTGCTGATCTCTGGTCCAGATCTCCTCCTACGAGACAGATTTTCAGTGAAAACTCTAATCTGTCCACAGGCGGCTCTCACGCGCTCAGGTTTACCGCGATGCCAACTGTCTGTTTTTGTCACAGTCTTTCTCATTTGGTGTCTTATAGTCACATCTGTGTCTCTGTGTTGTTTCCCGTGCTCTGTCTGCAGGCTGTTCAGCACTTTGTGATTGCAGAGGGTGTGTGTGTGTGTGTGTGTGTGTGTGTGTGTGTGTGTGTGTAGCTTTTGTGTGTGAGGTGTGTGTGTGTGTGTGTGTGTGTGTGTGTGTGTGTGTGTGTGTGTGTGAGGTGGGCAGCAGTGTTTCTGGTCCTCATTTATCTGTTTTTACTGTGCCCACTTTCTCCTGAGCTGGATTTATTAGCGAACTGGGCCCTGTCAAAAGCTTGCCTTATGATAGCATGTGTGCACACGATGGAGGCCGGGCCTGCCGCGTGTGTGTTTCTGCCCTTTGAGATGTTTTGTATTGACGTGCATGTGTGAGACGGGCTGAAGACTCTCCCAGCCTGTTCATATCTACGCTGTAGTTTTCATTTTTCTTCGTTTTCTCTTTAAAACCTCGAATAAACGTTCTAACATCAGCTTTGATCAGCGGTGCTGCTAAAGAGTGGTGGCGTCTGGCTTTCTTCACTGGGCCAGTTTTTATTATTTAGCGGTCTGGAGGAAACGCTTCATGCTTTTAATTCCCCACATTTGGCTCCTGCAGTCCTCGTGGTTCTGGCATCAGTCGAGCCTTCCATCGTCTCTGCGGACGGAGATGTGCTGCAGAGATGTTGCAAAGCTCTTGCGTCTTATCTGGCAGGTGTTTGATTAGTTTTAGTGTTCAGCCGCCTGCTTTTTCTGTCTCTGTTCAAACTCCTGCTTCTGTTGGCTTCAGTTACTGGAGGTAAGATACGATATGCGTCAGCTGGGGCGCTCACACATGCCACCGTTGATGGCAAACAGTCACCTCGGTCTCTTCTGCTGGCGTGGGAGATTTATGATTCTGTTTTTCCAGCAGGTACAGGTGGCTCCAATTCTTCTTCAGCTTTTAAAAGTCGCAATGAATCAGCCTATGAAAGGCCTAATGCGTTTCATATGGCCCAAGCTATTCTTTCTGCTAGGTGGACCTTTCACACTGCAGCGAAAGAGAAAATAAAACGCACAACATGACACTAAAATGGACTTTGTTTGAATACATCAAACAAAGAAAGTCATATTTAAATTCAAATTTTAAATCTTAATCGTCCCAGGGTTTTGCAACACTGACCATATATGGTATCAGATTTATTTAATAGGATTACATATGAAAGCGATTGCTCCTCATATCAAGCCCTGTCGACTCCGACCTCTCCCAAAGTCACACTGCACTGCTGTGTGTTTGCAGGAGTCAGAGCATCAACAAACAGCCAGTGTGACTGCGAGGAGGCTCCGGCTGGATGAGCTACACTGGAGCTACTGTGCGTCCCCCCTGCATGTCTGTCGGCCCGCAGGTTGAATCAGCTCCTGTGTTCACCCTGAGACGTGACCTGCTGTGGGGGTGTTTTTATGATGCACGTCAGCTGTCAGAGTCAGGGTGGCTCGGGCATCACGGGGCTTGTATAAGGAGGGATGAGGCCACGCTGATGGTGTAGAGCAGCGGTCCCCAACCTTTTTTGCTCCACTGACCGGTTTAATGTCAGGCAGTGTTTTCACGGACCGCCCCTTAAGGCAGATAAATACAACAAATTAAAATTATGCAACCGAGACAGAAACTGTGGTATTTTGTAAATATAATATAAACATGAAATCAATGTGTAACTGTGTAACTTTATTAGCAGCGTCTTCCTGAAATGCACCAACATCACTGAGTGTAACGTCCTCCTCTTTGGCTCTCTGATCGCTATGGTAACGCGTAAACATTTCTTTCAAAATAAGATGCACGACTACAACACATGACCCGGAGAAACTGAGTTAACGATAAAAACCCTGAAAACCATAAACTTCACACCCGAGCCTCAACTCGCGCGGCCCGGTACGGGTCCGTGGCCCGGGGGTTGGGCACCGCTGGTGTATATTTATCAAAATCGAGCAGGTTGACCTTTAACCTGGACTCATTTCCTGCAAGTCGCTTTGCAACCCACATTAGCTTCTGCTGCTCCTCCATCCATTCATGCTGTTCTGACTTAAACAGCATCATGTCTGCTGCGTTACGTGAGACGATCATTTAAATTCAAAGTGCTGCGCTGGGTATTGATTCTGTCACTGTGCTTCCTGTTGTCTGTATAAAAGAAAAGCTGTGAGTATAATGTGGTCTAATATTAATTTATTTTACTGCTAAAATATGACATAAGGTAACCCAGTAATTTCCAGAAGACTGTATCTTTATCATGACTTAATCCCATTTAGCCTGAAGTAGAGGAAAATGCATTATTTTTGTCATAACTCTACAACTAAGAGTGGATTTTCCCGGCAGTGGCGACGTGTTTTTCCATTAGTCCAAATGATGTGACTGTAGGCTCAGTTTAATCGTTGAAATGATTTGAATTCTAGCTGTGACTATTACTTCCTATCAGAGCTGTGAAGTTGAAACCAATGCTCACTCTCTGTTGCTGCGAACACACTTCTACCACCTACCTCTCATTGCCATTACTGCTACTTTCCCTATGATACAGCTCTATGTTGCGTTCATATTTTCCGCATCATTCATAACATGTATTATTGTGATTGGTGTCGTGCCGGGTAATAAAAAAAGGGCGTGATGAATTGATTCACCCAGGCTTCTCCAACCGCATTAGAGAGCTGAGCCATATGGCTGTAAATACAGGGGAGCAGCGATGACTTAATTGTTGGACTCGTTTGGGAAAAGAAAAAGACAGTTTGTTGCTATTAGCTCCTTTATACCCACTGCTAACCACTGCTTTTACATTATCACTTCCACTGCACGCGCACACTCACATTAGACCAGACAGACCCAGGACGTCCACACTATTGTTGTACTTTCCACAGTAAGGAGTGAAATGCTGTCACGTATGACCTCACTCTTGCCGTCATGTCATCCCTGTATAGGCTGGAAGAATGTGTCACACGTTGGGTTGCAGCCATGCAGCACACTAACGAAGCCACGTCTCCTCGCTTTTAGATGGCTAACGGGGTTTTGTCGATGTCGTCACTACAGCCTGACGACAGCCTTTGCTTACAGACGCATGCTAGCTGTCAGACTGTGATCTATGTAAATGGATTGGGTTCTTTTGGTTTTGGTCGCCGCCCAATGTGTCATGTGTTTCTGCAATTGTGTCAAGTCAGCTCAGCGAGCGCTGTAGCAGCGTAACGTAGACGTGACCACAAACTTCTCATTCGTCAGTAGCAATCAAGACATGATCTCTGCTGTGCAGCCACAGGGTGTGGGTGAAGAGGGGAACGCCACGGTGATGTTACGCCATGATTTAGGCCATTTGTGAGTGGAAGCCTTTCAAGCCTCAGAAGGAAAGCGAGTTAAACGTAGATAATCAAGTTTCTGACCTCGTTCTTGGAGGGGGCTGTCCTCCTGTGCAGATGGACCAACCAGGGTCTGTAAGTTTGTGACGTTTCTGCTGTGGCTTTAAGTGAAGTTGGGTAAATGTGGTGAACTTCACGGAGGCATTGGTGATGAATTGTGTTGGCTTTTGTTGTTTACCACATATGTGCACGCCCACAAAGGCCTGATTGGCACAAAATTTGGCACCAATGTTCCCAGTTCACAAACGGTGAATCCAGTAACTTCTGATTTATCAGGACCAAAAGCAGCTTTTTGTTTCACCTGAAATATTTCACAAAGTCTTCCAAATATAAATTGGAAAACCTCAAAAACTTTCCCAGTGAAATCCTGTCCAGCGTTTGTTTGTAAACACCAAAACGGAGCGAAGGCTACAAGCTAGCTCGTGGCAGTCTGCTCGAGCGGCATCGTAGACGCTAACAAGCCACGAAGAAAGTAAAGTTCCTCTGGCACCGGTGCTCAACACGAAAGTAACAGCTCATCTCATACAAAGCTTGACTTTTCTATCACACAGTGAACCTGTGATCCAAGTTTACCTCACAGGGTTAAAGCCTCCTCTGGGGGATCGTCACCGGGTTTAAACTCCTGTTTACTGTTGGAAATCTTGCTTTTCAAATCAAACCTGGAGGTGAAAGAGAAGCTAAACAGCAGCTGCAGGAACAAAGGGGACCTCGGGAGGTGCACACCGCGGTGTCCTAGCTCATAACCCAGGAACTCTGACTGTGCTGTACAGTATGAAACATTGTGTAAGACCTCAAGATGTTTGTCATTGTTTGTGTGGTTGAATCATCAGTTGGAGGAACCAGCATGGACCAAACATGGACTACAGGCGACAGCAGCACAGCATGTTTGACTGTGAGTCAGTGAAGGGTAGCAGTGTCTTTAAAAGCCCAACACGTCCTGGCAGGTTGATCTTCAGCAGCATCACCGAGTGCTGTTTTAAACCACCGGTGATGAGTTCCTCCTCGCCCCAGCACTCCCAGCACTCCCAGCACTTCTGTGTCTTTCAGTGTCTGGTTTAGTAATGAACACCACTTTCCAGGAAGGTGAAACTCTGAGCTGCCACGAGCTCCCTTTAGATGTCCCTTTGACACTCACACAGACAGGAGCAGCCTATTAGACGTGCTGTTCTCCCACGCCTACGTGGGCTGTATCCAGTAACGTCTCTTTTTTGGTGCAAATTGCCCCGAGCTGGTGTGCTCACCGACAGGCTTAACTGACAGCACTAATGTGTTCTCCTCAGGTTGGTGGTTCGTCAGCACAGCGGAGGAGCAGGGCTGGGTCCCGGCCACATACCTCGACTCGCAAAATGGAACCAGAGACGATTTGGATCTGGGAACATCCAGGACCGTCGAAGGTTAGTGCTGACACAAACACGGCGTTGTTACATTCATAAAACACTGACAGACATAAACGTCAGTCTGCGTGTGCAGGGGGCAGCCCATCCTTTCTAGTTTCCTTCTGTGTTCTTTCTCATCACATCATTCACAAGTTAGTGCTGAACACACAAACACATTTCCAGTCACACATTGGGAACCTTGGAGACCACAGTGGCGGCAGCAGCACGGTGAAATGGTACCAGACTGCAGCCAACGGGGTTGCAATATTTTGGCACCACAGAAAATTCCTTCCAGCTCTCCCGGGACGCCACGGCTCTCGTTTTGTTGCGACCCTTTCCTCCTGAATGTTTAGTCTGCCTGCTGGGACGGCGCATTTCCTCACTGTGTCATCCCCCCCCCGCCCCTCTCTGAGATCTGGAGCGTGCAAACGCACAGACGCATGCGTGCAGTTTATTTGCAGATGCATGTAGCAGTTTATGGGATGTAGAATCCCGCTGGATCCTCCTGCAAACACTTTTCCGTCTCTGTTGCGACACATGCTGGGCTCCATGCTTCAGTGGGCAAACAAACACAAACAGCTCAGTTGCTGTTACTCGCTGCTCCTTTTGAGGAGGTGGCAGCGCCCGTAACAAAGATTTAGTGTTGTTTTGTTACATTGTGACGTGCTGGAGTGTTTGCTGCCTGTTGATTGGATGCATGTGTTGTTAATGGTGTTTCTGTTTGTTTTTGAGTTGTGCTCAGAACTTGTTTGACATCTGCTGCAGATTCCCGAACACCAACACCCAGCTCTCGGGAATACGTTAGGCTTATTATATCTTTGTAGCTTTGCCCGTTGATTCTGACGTCTCTGATTTATTCAGCTGAACTGAATGGATGTTGCGTCACTGAATGAAACGGCACGCACGAGGCTCGTGCTCTGACTTCGTGCAGGTTGACCGCTGCGCTCTTTTCATTGACCTCGCTAAATTTACTACTGCACACTTTCAGTTGAGAAAACTGGAGCTAGAATTTGAACAAAAACAGGAAGAGAGGGCGAAGCATCTGAATGATCTGGTCACCTGTTTATCTGCTGGAACCTCAGCTAGAAACAGCTCCGCTCACATTCACGGTAGCTCGACCATCATCATCATCATCATTATTGTTTGTTCGTTGTGTTGTTTTTATCGTTGGTCATTTTTATTTCCTTTGGTTTTAATGTGACCTCTGAAACATCTCGATTGGCTTCCTTGGATGCCGGACAGCAGCAGGTGTTGGTTGGTAAAGCCTCTAAAAGCCCTTAGAGGAGGCCTGTGTGTGTGTGTGTTACATTTTCTGTCATATACAGCGTACTTTGACAAACAGATCAATGATGTCATCACAGCTCGTTTCTTTCATTTCCAGCTGCTCACGAAAGTGAAGCTATTCCTTGAGAGAGCTGTCCATGCCTTCGTTTCATCTTCACTCTGGTGTCAGTCTGTCATCAGTGAGCCGACTGCAGCAGGTCAAAGCGCTGCAGCACTGTTACTAACCAGCACTCGAAAGCGAGACCACATATTTGCCATACTAGCATCGTTACTGTCACTTTTCGAATTGACTTTTGTCCGGCATTGCACGAGTTCGCAGCCTCACACCTCTCTGATCTTTTGAATTGGTACACTCCTTCGAGGTCAGTGAGGTCTGCAGACCGAACGCTCCGAGCTGTCCCGAGGTCCTTTGCTGTGACTGCTCCTAAACCGGGAACTTCCCCTCCACAACATTTGAAAACCCAATTTTATTCTATTTTTAAACCAGAATCAGTTCAGACTAATTTTATTTGTGTTATTTCTCATTTTATGTTTCTTTTCTGTCTTTTAATCTCATTCGATTATTTTAGAGGTGCAACACTGTGAGCCCAAAGCTTCAGGCTGCAGTTCTTTCCTTTACTTGTGCCTCGATATGATGCCAGTCAGAGCAGATCTATCAATACAGCCACGTATCTCAGGCACGTAGAAAGTTGTTTAAAGCCTTTTGTGGTTCCAGAGTAAGTGACTGAACACCAGGTAGAGGAACCGGATTACAGGAGCAACGTTGCGTAAGAATACTCTGTTAAAAAGCCTCAAATAAACCAGAGTTGGCATCAGCTGGCATCTCAGGCTGACATTAACTGCACAAAGCTCACAGCTACACATGCACTCTCTTCCCCCTCATCCTCGGTCAGTCCCATTTTCCCGTTAGGCCTGGTGTCTTTGTGTTTGCACACATTGTCACTTCTCATTCCTGATCTCTCCCTTCCTGCTTCCCATCGTCTCTTACGTCTCATTATCTCCGCGTGGTCGGTAACCTAATTCCACTGACAGCTCAGCTCGCTAGGGAGGAACCGACAGGCGTGCCCAGCCCTGCTGAAATTACCTCCAAATAACATTTCCCTGTGTCCCTTCCTTTAAGCCAATATATCAATTAAGAGGTCAACGGGAGCGGGATGGCGCTCGGTGGGATGGAAGGAGCGCCGGAAAGGAATCAAAAGGGACAGCGAGTGACAAGGAGCAGAGTCAGAGGAGCGATGGAGAGATGAGCGAGGACAGAAGACGGAGAAGAAATGAAATTACTGCAGGCAAAAGAAAGACGGAGGACAACTGCTGTTTCCCTCCATCCTTCCCGTCATTAATATTTTTCCCTCAGGAGGCAGCAGAACAGGAAACCGGCTCACGATGTTTGATCGCTGCTTCGTCGTACAAGCTTCGAGGTTAAGAGTTCGACACACGGCAGCCGCATAATGTGTCGAGGCCCTCGGAGATCCTGGAGCTGTGTCTGTGATTGGTGTTCTCGTGTGTGCGATAACCGCAGACGGTATAATAACCATGAACGTAACCACGGTGACGTCCTTATCGGCTTTTGAAGCGTCAGTGTTAGCAGGATTAAACGTGGTGTGCATCTGCACCGCCGCAGGTCACACTGGACGTCAGAAGCACTTCAGTGAACTTGTTTCAGATTTGAGCCTCTGATAGCTGCGCCGTGTAGCTTGGTATGGATCCTGCAGGAAATCGAGCCGGTGCTATTTTAAGCGATGTGGAGCAGAGCTTCTGGGATGCTCCTAAAATAAGCTGCATTGTGTTTGTTGGAACAGCAAGCAGGAGCTTATTAGCTCTGACGATGACATCGGAGCCTGAACGCGACACCGCTGTGTTCCCGGCTTTGCTGATTTGTTAAGGCGGACGTGTCCACATTTGGAAGAGTGCTAAATTATCAGCTGGTGCTAACAAACAGCATGTAGCGTGCTGGTCACACTGGTCCCTGATAATCAGTGTGGAGGGGTTTGTAGCTTACACGCTGGTTCCTCCAGCCATGCCATGGTCTGCTGTTCCAGGCAAAATACAATAACTGTCCTCTTAAGTCCGACACAGTCAGTTTGCACCAAGCAGTCCACCTGCTCCCCTCATTTCGTTTCCGTGGTACTGCAGAGGATTTGATGGCTGAAATGACTCGTCCCGCTTCGTTTCTCACCCAGTCTTTAAAACTCACAGACACACTTCCTGTAAGAGAAGCAGTTTGAACGTGTTCATGACGACTAACAGCTCATTTTGCTAAAACGTGCTTCTTACACTAACTCGTCTGTTTTGTCTTTTGGTTGCTGCTCCGCCCCCCCTCCCCCTCATCAGTTACTAAGAGACGCAAAGCCCACCTGAAGAGGCTGGACCGCCGCTGGACCCTCGGCGGTATAGTTAACCGCCAGCAGAGCAGAGGTGAACATGAAAACACAAACACACGAACGCACAAGGAATCACACG